TAGGCAAAGGACTTGGAATGGTGCGTGGAACATACTACAGAACAGAAAAATACTACTTCTCATCATTGACACTGGGTGGGTGAAATGGGTAATTGCTCCTAAAAATAATGCGCTGATTCCATCTACCGACTCTGTGAAAGACTGTGTCTGGGGCTGAAATCCCAGGCCCCTCTGTGCTCACGGGACTTGCGGTCGGCCGCCTGCACCCGCGGACCTTCGGCCCGGTCACGCCTCCTGCCTGAGGGGCTGCAACTCCTCCATCAGCCCGAAGGCCCTCACTGATGTCGCCGTCCCCACCTGGCCCCCCCTGACCAGCACCTGTCTCACCTGGACTTCTACACCTGCTGAGGACGGCTGTCCTGCCTCCCCCGCTCCCCGCGCCTGCATCCCTCGGTGCGCAGGGGCGGCTCTGCAAACTGCACACGGGACACATTGTGGCCGGCTGTGGGCTCGCGAAGGAGAACCTGCAGCTCTTCCTAGAGGAACCGACAGACCCAGGACAGTCTACCCCGTTAGCGGCCTGCCATACACAGACTCCTGTATCTCCTTCACAAAACCGTGCCTGCTTTTCCACAAAGTACACTGCCCTCCCCACTGCCCCAGCGGACACCCCCAAATCTCACCCAGTTAAACGTCCAGCTGGGAATCTCTCGGTCAGCCCAGCAGCCCCTGACGTCAATGACAAATGTCCCACGCCCAGCACGGGGGCCGGAGAACAGGAAACCACAGCAGCATCCCTGTGTTTCAAAGCAGAGCAGGGACAACTGCACACACGTCGTGGAGGGGACGCTGACGTACCCTGCCCAGACCTGGAGTGAGTGCCACGGCCGACCACCCTCACGCGCCACTCCTCTACCATGGGCCACTCTGCGTGTCTGGGGCTCCCGTGGCCCCGAGCCATCTGGGATGCATGACACCCCCTATGTGGGCCAGGACGCGGCATGGGGCACAGGGGGACCCAGGACCTGCCCAAGGCTGCAGGACAGCATCTCCGGTTAGCTAGGCATGGCGTGAGGGTGGGGACTGAGTCTCCACTAACTTACTCGATTTTAGAGTTGAACTGTTGGTTCTGGCCAGTCTCTGCAACCAGCCAATCGACAACAGCAAACTGTCACTTGGCAGCACGCTTTGGGATCCGGAGCTGCGCTTCCTGTCTCCTAGCAACAGAACTCAGCGTTCTGCTCATCCCCCATCCTCAATTCCCATCGAGGTCTCTCCCCAGTCCCCGGGAGACACCAGCACCTGCCCTTGCCTCCGGCCGGCATCCCAGCTGTGCCTTCTAGCGACCCGTCCTCCCTTCTCGGGACACTGCACGCATCAGTCTGCTCTCTCACCCCACGGCCTCAGCCCTGTCCAGCCTCACTGGGTTCCAGACTCGCCACCATCCGTGGACTCCAAGCCACAGGCACCACGGGCTCTGCTCTGTTCTCTTTCTTCTTCCTGGTAGGGTTGTCCGGACCCAGCACGGACTTAGTCAATATGCTCCAGATTCATGAAGTGCTCCTGTCTGACAAACATTCTTTGCTTGACCAAACTCTGGTCAGGCTCCCGACCCTTCTCTGAGGCCCCCCTGGGCACCTCCTTGTGCGATCCGGTTTTAGCAAGAACCCCGCTAAGTCAGTTCAACCAAGGCTTCCCCCCCCCCTGTCCCCCCCCCCCCCACCAGCCGCCCAGCCTCGCCATCCTCCACCGTCCCCTGGAGATGTCTGGTGACCCGGTCGGCCTTCAGCCATGATCCTGTCAGGCCGGTGTGGCCAGAACTCTCTCACCCCGCAGCCTCTCCCCCATGGCACAATCTTGTCACAAGGGCCCTTCTGTCCATCTGGACGGCCCTGCACCCGGCCCGCCCCACGAGTGTCTCTGAATACCTTTTCCTTTAACACGTCAAATGCTAATGTCACAGCCGCAGAAATCTCGTGGTGTGAGCTCCGAGAGAAAGCAGGCCACGCCGCTCACCGCGTCCTCCCTCTGCTTGGGGCGCTCCCCACGGCCCACCATCACCGTTGCCCTCCGACCTTTGGTGTGACATCTCCAATGTATCCTCCCAAATTCAACGCAGACCACATCTCTCCCGGAGCAGTGCTTGCCAAGCAGAGAAAATTACAGTAAACACAACCATCGGTGGGCGGTCAGTGTTTTAGGAAATGAATTAGGATGGAACGGAAAATACCACGAGTATGGAGAGTGTAGGTATTGTTTTGTGAAACTGTCATGTCACATGTGTGCATGTGTGTGCATGTTTGTCCTAAGGACAGCACGGGAAACCTGTAAACCCACTACGGGAAGTTTCCCTGGCCCACCCTCCCCGCGCCCCACACCTGCTGCCCGGCCTTCGGCCCCCATCATGGCACCCACCGCTCCACGCTGTAAGTGCTGGTTTCCTCATCTGTTTCCCAAACCAAGCACACATTTCCGGGGGACAGAAACCGTGTGTCCTGTTGAACTCCCCTCCTCCAGCGACAGACAGCATCTAGAAGGTGCTCAAGGCATAGACGCTGGATGAAGGAAGGCCCACAACACGAGAAGAGATCAGGATGGACGGGATGAAAGGGAACGCATCACGTTTTAAAAAGTCACATCCCTTTTAACAGGATAAGAGGCTTCCGTCAAAGGGGGGAACTTAGAGCTAGAGAGGCAGGCATCCCTGGGGGGCTGCAGGGACCATGAGCGAGAGGGAGCCCCTCCCTGGCCCGGCGGGCGGACCTCAGCCCAGCACCCTTGGGACCAGGGCTCCTGCCTGTCCTCCCTCAGGCTTTCAGGAGCGCCGGGTCTGCAGCAGCTGCATGCCAGCAAAGGGAACCCGGACGCTGCACTGGGAAGATACGGAGAAGGAAGTCAGACCGTTTTAATCGGAAATAGAAAATTTACGAAAAAAATCCTGCTGCACACAATCACATTACAGCCTCTGGCGAGGGCTCCTCACTGAGCCACCCACGGGACTGGGTGAGGTGGCCTGGCCTGGGCACCATTCCTGCCTGCTTTGGTTTCCTCTGCACCGGGTGTGTGTGCGCACGTGTGCGTGTGAATGAAAGTGTGTGTGTGTGTGTGTGTGTGTGTGTGGCACGTAGGTACCGCACATGCATGTGTGTATGTGTATGCATGTGTGTGATGTGCATGCATGTATATGGTTGTGTGGTGCATGTGTGTATACGGTGTGTGTGTGTGTTTCTTGTGTGTGCATGGTGAGTGTGTGTTTTGTGCACGGTGCATGGTGCGTGTGTGTGTGTGCCTGTGCAGGTCCCTCGCGCCCATAGCAGGTTCTGAGCAGCTGTGATCACAGACGCCATGGCCTCCTTATCGGCCCAGTTGGCCAGGACCCGAGGTGAAGGGGGGATGCTGGTGACCATTTCTGCTTCAGGCCCTCTAGTGGCTCCTGGGAAAGGGTTCTCCGGTTCTAACAAGACCTCATGGGGTCTTGGGAGTTCCCCCTCCTTGTGCAGGATCAGAAGATCCTCTGAATCAGGAAAGATGAGCTCATATTGGAACGTGCACTGACCCGCAAGAAGGCAGTGTTTGGGGTGGGCGGTGCAGCTGCAGACTGCAGGGCCCAGAGTCTCTCTGGGTAGCAGGGCCATCTGCTGAGCATCTGGTCTTGGGAGCTTGTCTTGCTGGGGGGACATGAGAGGGAGGAGTAGGGTTGGGGAATCTGACCTCAAAGGACATACTTGATCCACTCTCCTCTTGTTGATAGGAATGAATCGGTTTTGCTGATGATAATTAACTATGCAAATAAAATGAATTATACTCATTGTTATCTTGCTCAAAGTCCACCCTGAGGAGACCAGCCCCTGGACCCGGAGTTTGGAGACACAAGACTGGGTCCTTGTCAGGTGATGGGCAGGGAGACAGCTTACCAAGGCCCAGGGTGGTGCACAGACCTGGAGGTGCCCCACGGAGGACAAGGAGGATGCTCTCAGGGACATGTGTCCCTGCCTGGCTGGGCTCCACCTAGGGAGAAGACTCTGCGTGGGTTTGAGGCCGCGCTCTTTGCGGGTTCGGGGACACCAGCGCACAACCCAGAACAGGGGTGACAGGGCGCATCTGGGGAAAGGGCCCAAAGCACCCTGTACTTACAGTAAACTCTGGGCCTCGGTGTTGCAGGCCTCGGCGGAAAGGAGTCAGGGCGCCTGGGGCCCACGGGCTACGCAGCCCAAGTCCGAAAACTTCGCGCTGGCCAGGCCAGTCCTCCCCGCGTGGTGCCCAGGCAGCGGGCGCGCCCGGCCGTCTCTGTCGCCATCCAGAGGCGCGGCTTGGGCGCGGCGTCCCTTCCGCCTGCCTCCTCCGCCAGTCCCAGGGACCGCGCCGGGACCCCGCGGCATCGGGCGCGCGCACCGGGCGCGCCCCTCCCATTGGTGGCCGGGCGCGCCGAGCCCGGGCGCGCAGCGACGCCCAGAGCCGCGGGGCCGGCGTCCCCGGGCTCGGCGGGCGCGGGCGCGGGCGCGAGCTCGGGCACGGGCGCGGCGCGGGG